GGAGAAGCAAAAATACCAGATCCAATTATTGAACCGATTACTAGATTAAGACCATTATAAAATGTAACTTCTTTCTCCAAATGAGTAGGATGCCTTCGTGTCTCTGTTAGGGCCAATGGTATAAGATGGTCATGTTCGTTATTTTGAATAAATGGTCACTTAAATCTTGTTTTACGAAAATTTGATTGTACCACTATCCTTAAAAATCATATGATTTTTTTAAAAAATTTTTTGATAATCTCTATCCAATTGAATGCATTGTATGGTTCAAGTTAATACATCGCTCAGAAATGGTACAAATAATTTTCTATTTTTTCTTTTTAATCTAGCAATAATTATTATTAATTAAATTCTACAAACAGAAAGTAAAAGTACTAAATCGTAATGCCTCAGACTATGTTCGTGAAACACCTCAAGACATCCATAAAATCAAAAGAAACATAGACCCTAATTTACACCCTTTTGAAAAAGCTCGTGAATATACAAGAGCACTTAATGCTGTCAAATTAGAACGACTGTTTGCTAAACCTTTTGTTAATGCTTTGAGTGGTCATGTAGATGGTGTCTACTGTATAGCTAAACATCCTCTAAAATTAACTACAATTATATCCGGTAGTGGTGATGGAGGTATTATAAAATTAATAGTTTAGGAAAGTCAGTTTAACTAGCTTGATTAAATAGATCATCAATTTTTCTAGAATTAAGAATTTGGAATTTATCTGAACAAACTACTATTTGGAAAGTTTCCGGACACAAGGGCATCGTCAAAGGTGTTTGTTGTGGTCCAACAAAAAGTAATTTTTATTACTCTTGTGGGACGGATAAAACTGTAAAAATTTGGAATCCTGATGAACTTAATGATGAGGTACTGTTAAAAATTCTATACTAAAGGTCGACAATAAAACTATAATTTACACGACTTTTAAATTTTAGCCAATAAACACTTTTATTGGAAAATTTGCTTTCAGGTAACTAACTCTTTTATAATTAATTTTCTTCCTTGTTTTCTTACCATAATACCATGTACACTTCATATATTTTATTTAATTATAGTGCGATTGATCACCATCGCTCTGATCCAGTCTTTGCTACTTCTGGTTCGCAGGTTGATATTTGGGATGAAAATAGGTAAATAATCAAATAGAATGTCATTAATAGTGTGGCTTACATGTGGTTTGTTAGCATGTACTGGTGCACTTACATATGCTGAATTGGGTTCT